CATGTACTACAATAATTATTTTCAATAGGTCTTTCTTTGTTAACACGATAAAATGCACTATTCCATCCTAAAATGTTTTCAACTATGAAAACATTTTTACACCTTCTTCTGTGCCAATCCCAAAGTTGCGGGGTATTATTATCATAGTTTACAACTGATTATACGTCAAACGTATATGACAAATGTTTATTAAAATTAATTAAAATTAATAATAGTAATTGGCTATGAGTTGACTTATAGCTTTGAGTTTTCCACCTGTACACTGATGATTATTCGTGTCTCGAACTTGATTCTAATTGATTTTCATGGTCAAATTTTACGAGTCAATGACACATTTAAAGATCAAAATTTGTGAGTGAAATAAAATTGTTTAAATATTGTTGTTTTTTATGGTAGGACGGTCCAAATACAGTATACAATACGTACCTCTTAAACCCTGAGAAGTTTATTGTGTGTAAATCTTGATTATAAGGCATAGGAACAGTTATAGATGTAGTGTGTGTCATACACAGGTACAGTTGTGGATGTTGTTTATAAGGCACAGGTACAGTCAGGGATGTAGAGTAAGATGTGTATACTGCACAGGTACAGTCATGGATGTTGTTTATAAGGCACAGGTACAGTCATGGATGTAGAATAAAGTGTGTGTACTGGACAGGTACAGTCGTGGATGTTGTTTATAAGGCACAGGTACAGTCATGGATGTAGAATAAAGTGTGTGTACTGGACAGGTACAGTCGTGGATGTTGTTTATAAGGCACAGGTACAGTCATGGATGTAGAATAAAGTGTGTATACTGCACAGGTACAGTCGTGGATGTTGTTTATAAGGCACAGGTACAGTCGTGGATGTTGTTTATAAGGCACAGGTACAGTCATGGATGTAGAATAAAGTGTGTGTACTGGACAGGTACAGTCGTGGATGTTGTTTATAAGGCACAGGTACAGTCATGGATGTAGAATAAAGTGTGTGTACTGGACAGGTACAGTTGTGGATGTTGTTTATAATGCACGGGTACAGTCAGGGATGTAGAGTAAGATGTGTATACTGCACAGGTACAGTCGTGGATGTTGTTTATAAGGCACAGGTACAGTCATGGATGTAGAATAAAGTGTGTGTACTGCACAGGTACAGTCGTGGATGTCGTTTATAAGGCACAGGTACAGTCATGGATGTTGTTTATAAGGCACAGGTACAGTCATGGATGTAGAGTATGATGTGTATACTGCATAGGTACAGTCGTGGATGTCGTTTATAAGGCACAGTTACAGTCATGGATGTTGTTTTTTTATAAGGCACAGGTACAGTCGTGGATATTGTTTATAAGACACATGTACAGGTACAGTCATGGATGTTGTTTATAAGGCACAGGTACAGTCAGGGATGTAGAGTTAGATGTGTATACTGCACAGGTACAGTCATGGATGTTGTTTATAAGGCACAGGTACAGTCATGGATGTAGAGTATGATGTGTATACTGCATAGGTACAGTCGTGGATGTTGTTTATAAGGCACAGGTACAGTCAGGGATGTAGAATAAAGTGTGTGTACTGGACAGGTACAGTCGTGGATGTTGTTTATAAGGCACAGGTACAGTCATGGATGTAGAATAAAGTGTGTGTACTGCACAGGTACAGTCGTGGATGTTGTTTATAAGGCACAGGTACAGTCATGGATGTAGAGTATGATGTGTATACTGCATAGGTACAGTCGTGGATGTTGTTTATAAGGCACAGGTACAGTCATGGATGTAGAATAAAGTGTATGTACTGGACAGGTACAGTCGTGGATGTTGTTTATAAGGCACAGGTACAGTCAGGGATGTAGAGTTAGATGTGTATACTGCACAGGTACAGTCAGGGATGTCGTTTATAAGGCACAGGTACAGTCGTGGATGTTGTTTATAAGACACAGGTACAGTCATGGATGTTGTTTATAAGGCACAGGTACAGTCATGGATGTAGAGTTAGTCGTGTATACTGCACAGGTACAGTCGTGGATGTTGTTTATAAGGCACAAGTACAGTCAGGGATGTAGAATAAAGTGTGTGTACTGGGCAGGTACAGTCGTGGATGTTGTCAATCAGACACCGGTACAGTCATGTTGTAAAATTTCTAGAGTTGTTTGGACAGTACAGCAGAATCTTAGAGAGGTGGATCTAATAAAAATATTTACTTATACAAATATTTACTTTGGATGTTATCGATAATTTTAGTATAAATTTCCTTTAATATGATCAATTATTTTAATACCATACCTTACATATTTCAGGTATCACACCACGGTTATCGACCAGTCAAGATGTTAATTGTTCCATGCATATAAAATTAATTTTTATTTCTTTTGAGAATTTTTTTTGGGGGGAGGGGGGGGGGGTCTTCCAGCCTATTTTTACAACTTTGATGCCTGTGCCTAGTAAATTTTATGTACTTTGTAAATAAATAAAGGTGTTCTGTCAGGAACTATTCTTTTTCAGGGCATAGGAGGCTACTTCCTGGGGTGCACTTGAGAGGTTTATATATAACACATTGAAAACGGGTGGATCAGCCCATTCCACCCGTATATATCGTAAGACATACAAATGTATATTCATGGGAAATAAAACCTGTGTTTTTCATTGACACCACTTGTGTGATCAATGAAATGGGTGAAATTAATAATATTGTGACGTACTTATACTTTCTAACATAAAATTAAGGATTACAAATTAATTCCGATATTTGTTTATTATTTACTCGTATATTTTCTATAATTATACTAGCATGTTTCATTTTTAAATTCATCATTATTATTGAGCACGTAGGGTATTGAAATCATGCCCCCCCCCCCCCCCACACCCCCCCAAAAAAATAAATAAAGACCTGGTTCATATTGTTCTCTGAACATAAAGCTTTAAATTTAAAATCTGTAAAAGTTTTGGATCTTTCCCTAATCACTGCTGACATCGTTTGTCTCGGTATCACTGTCATAGGTAATATAAAGATTAGCGTTAATTGCGCTTTGATTGAATTCAGTTTAAATCTAAATCGGAGAAAATCCACAGAATTTTTTGTTGTGGATGTTATTAATCAAGCGCGGGTTGAGCCAGTGGTAGTGTGTTTGTACGGCACAGGTACAGTCGCAGATGTTGTATACCAGGCAGAGGATACAGTCATAGATATACAAAATGTAGACATAGTCAAGTTAATTTACATATATTTTCCGCGATATATTCACTAAGCCAGTTATCGTTACCGTTTTGGCGATTACAGCCTTCCATAAAGTAGATTTATTTAAAATCAGAAATTTTCTTTCCTCCATATTAACACATTTCGTATTTTTCATTAAAAAACAATCCATACTTAATTAACAACATATAGTTTAATATGTTGAACAATCCGGAAAATCTTGCTCTGACATTCCGTTTTTGATATTAGTGAGCAGGTACAGTCATGGATGTCCGGTACCAGCATTGCCGAGTACAGTTGCGGATGTTAGCTGACAGACCCCACTCTCTAGTTCACTTGGCGTATTTTATGGCATTTATCGGTTCCATTCATACTTGGGGATATTAGTAGCACCTAGCACAGACCTCTGACGTCACTTTACATATTCGTCATCAGTTTACACGGAAACATTCACCCACACTCCCATCCCTATCAAACAGAGATCGACTAGGATTTTCTTTAGAATTGGGTGTTTAAATTTAATATATTGGTTTTATATAGTTCACATTTGTTTGGTTTCTCTGGAGATTTGATCACAGTTTTTGTCTCTCTTTGTCCTTTTTTCTGCCGGGTATTTTTTTTTTTATCATTTCAGATTGTTTTTCGAGCCAAAGCCGCATCATTACGAGAGAACCCCTCGTCACGGCCGCCAGGTTTATATCAGCCATACATGCCAGCAGTTGACGCCAGGCATGCGGATATTGGGCCTACCAGTAGGCTCATTGAACTCTTTTTCAACATTTTAACAAACATTTTTAAGTATGGACTAGTCAAATAGTGGACAGCTGTGCCTAGGGTTCACTTGTATTGTTAGGGATGCCATTACAAGGCAGTATATTGATGCCTCGGCTCCTTCATTAAAGCGGCCGTTGCCCATTCAGCCGAATAAAATAGTAGTCATTTTGTTTGTTATTCTGTTGTTTAATACAATACATGTAACTCAACTGGCAATTCCTGCTTTTAAGGTGATTTCATCTTTGATAAACAACAGTTAAACACTGATCTGTTTGATTAAGATGTTATACAGAAATAAAACACTGATATGTTTGATGCAGTTAAACACTGATCTGTTTGATTAAGATGCTATACAGCAATAAAACACTGATCTGTTTGATTAAAATGTTATACAACAGTTAATCACTGACCTGCATAACCCAAGGAAGACAATGACATTTTTTATATACTAGCGCAACGGCATGTTGTGTGAACTTGTGTTAGCGTAACGGCGTGTTGTTCAGTGATGTGTTAATGCGATGGCGTGTTGTGTGTTAGCGTGACTGCGTGTTGTGTATTAGCGCGACCGCATGTCGTGCGAACTTTTGTTAATGTGACAGCCTGTTGTTCAATGTTGTGATAGCGCTACGGCGAGTTGTGTGTTAGCACGACGGCGTGTTGTGTGTTAGCGCGACGGCGTGTTTTTCTGTACATTCAACTTCGGTTAAAATATAACCCCTTGATACTCCATGTAAGTTGGGGTAAAAATAAGGGATAACATTTTATCATGGGAATAAAGAGGGGACATCTTTTTCAAATCTTCTTTTTATGAACAACAGGGCAAAAGATACACAAGTGAGCATTGTGACCCATCGACCTCTTGTTTAATTTTCTTTTCAGAATTTTTATGTGTAAAAATGCAGCAAATCATTTTTAGCCCTTCATAAACCGCAATAGATAGACCACGTGGTGCTTCTTCAAGTTTCCTGTGTTGTTTATACTGTATTATACAAGTATGAAGAACATATACACTAAATGAATTTGAAACTTCCTGGCTTATTAAGTGTTCTAGTAAGGCTTTAGGACTTAAAAGGATTGACTGTTGGAGAACAAGCACGTAGGAGAGGACATGTTGTTTTGCTCTTTGGCTACATAAAGGTACTAAACTTATATGATAAGTTTTAATCAAAGGGCGTTCCAACGCCCCAATTACATTTTTTCAGAAATTAAGAAAAAAAATATTGAATGGACCTTTACTAGTATTTTAGTTTGTTTAAATCTAAAAAAAAAATGTTATTTTAGGTCTGTCAATTGCAAAATGGCCTGCCAAAATATTGAAACAGACATCAGTTTTGCACAGGATTTGATCACCTGCAGCTTGTGCCAAAATGAAGTAGATTTCTCCTGTAACTCGTGCAGGGTACGACTTTGTTGTGCTTGTGTTGGTAAACATATGATTTCTACATCCTCCGAGAATCACGAACTAGTGAGATACTCTCTAAAATATGAAACATTGCAAAGTCCACTGTGTCCAACTCACATTCACCAAAAATGTGGAATATATTGTAAGCAATGTGAAATTCCTGCATGCGATAAATGTGTTGTTTCAACTTGCCACAAAAACCATGATTTTGTTGAAATTAAGGATGTTTATCAAGCAAAGAAAACAATCATCAAACAGGACACAACTATTCTTAAAGAGCAGATTGCTCCAGAATACGAAAAGATTGTCGAGCAGTTGGAGGAATGGATAAACACTTTACCCAAAAATAACGTAGCCCTGAAATCACAAGTGCATCTGAGAGGCAAGGTCTTACATGAATTCGTCGACAAAGTTGTCAACGAACGCATCAGTGATATTGATAATATGGAACAGCAAAACGCTGAAAGTTTGAAGAAACATTTAAAAGCTTTCAAAGGCAAAGTTGGAGCTGTACGTCAGACCATTAGAGAAAATGTCGCTCTTTTACAATCGTGGGACTCTAAACTTCTTCATTTTTGTTCCAATGTCGATCAATATAGAAATGTATCTTCTTTTCCAGATGATATTTACAACATAGAATTCGTTCCTGATGCATACAGCACAAAGGATCTCTCGGAAATTTTAGGCGATCTTAGTTTTTCCAAAGTAAAACCATTCCAGGAAAACATTACCAGAACAGAAATTGAACGGTCGCTGCGAAACATCTCTTCGAAAATCGTCATGGATGATCCAGAAATCATCGCCAATATTTCAACAGAATATGAATCGCTATATGACATCGCTTGTCTAGAAAATGACCAGGCATGGGTAAATGGTGGGGGCATAATGACAAGATTAGATATAAAAGGAAAGGTATTTGAAAAAATTAACACAGCAAATAATTCTCCCGCTAATGGCCTTGCCGTCAACAATGATGGGGAACTACTGTATTCAGATTATAATGAAGAAAAAATATATTTGGTAAAACATGGAAAACCCAGAACTCTGATTAAAACGCAATGGGGACCGGGTGGTATCTGCTTGAGTGCATCCGGAAAAATCCTTGCGGTTACTTGTGAACGGAGGAGGGGATTATATCAAGTCGAAGTATTTGATTTGAAGAGTGGAAGTTACATCAAACGATTTGAACTCTTTCAACTTAAAGGTGGCAGATATCTTACATTTTACTTATCAGAAAATATAAATGGCGATATATGTATTGCAGACTTGAACGCAAAAATCGTTCTTGTTTTCAACCGAGAGGGTAACCTTCGCTTTCACTACGGAGGAAAAAGTCTTCATCATAGTTTTCATCCATATTACATTGCAACAGATAGTCAGGGACATATTCTTGTATCTGACAATGGAAATAACTGTGTCCATATCCTTAGCATAGATGGAGAATTGATCTCAGTCATAGATAAGCTTAGATTAGAAGATCCACATGGGATAAGCATTGACAAAGAAGACAAATTATGGCTCGTTGAAAAATCAGGAAAGATAAACGTAATACAATATTTGAAATAAATATCAATTCAGTAGAACATACGATCTACTAATGACTTGGTTTATAAATGATCTAGACATTTAGTGTACATATCCTGAATTCTAAGTGGTACACGAACAATTTGTCGTGTTTTGTTATGGAGAGTCCATATCCGCAACGAACAACAAACTATCTGCTACGGTACCGGCAACCTCGGAACTCGTACTTTATCTTGACTCTCTTTGTGACTTATGCATGTATCTATTTCAAGTTATTAGGCTGAAAGCTTGTGATTTATAAATCATGCTTTGCTGGTTGAAATTGATTTAAAGATTCTGAAAAAGAGTAGAAAACTCGGGGGAAAACGTGTGAAGTTTGAAACAACATTTGTAATTATATGTAAATGTTCTTATTATTTTTACAGCAGAGTTTTGAATTATAACTTATACACTAGTGTTTTTCATAGAAACACTTTGAATGTCCCTTTCTGATAAAATTTCACCATCGAGAAGGGATTACAATTTAGCTTTAAGGATGTTGAGTTTAATTGAATTCTGTGTGATGAATTTTAACGAAAAATACTAATATGAATAGGAACATGCATTAATCACAAGTTATCATAATCATGAATTATAATTATATTATAATTATTATTATTTCCCTTAAATAAAAGCAGAAATATATGAATATCGAGAATGGTGTCGTGAACATGAAGTCAACTCACATAGAAAACATTTCTTAACGCTGTCACTTTTTACACATTTTTTTTTATGTACATTTAGATGTATGGAGGTATATGAACTCCTAATTGCTGTTTATGACAGGCTCAATTCTTTCTCAAACGTTTCTTAAAATTCATTTTGAAGAAAATTAGAAGAAAAAAATATCAGATGGTAAAAAATAATAATTTTCCCTGTATTTTTGCTTAGTTCTGTTAATGAAATACCGTTTATAACATGATTTAATAAATATAAGCCACAGTTTAAAGTCTAAGCAAATTACTTCATATATTGATACCACGATTAGCCTTAATTTCCTCTGCTTTTATATATGCAAAATTCAAGAACGAGTATTCCATTAAAAGAAAAGATCGCTAAAACTCATATGTCAATTTACTTTTTGTCATCTCTTTGTAACGCAAGAAATAGCACAGAAAATAAATTACTCAAATGTTTGCAACTTTATGAACCAAATTAACCTATGTACATTGTTCAAAGTAATTTTTTCCTGGGCAATTGTTATGAAATTTATTTTTTCCCCCAAAATTCTTGCACACATGTAGAAAAATTTGTTTCATACAGCATGAAACAAATTTATCTTCGACGGCGTGTACGTGCATTTCGAATTCAATTTTTAAAAAAAAAATAATTATTTATACCATTTTTTGAAATCGTTTGTAAGATTTAAAAAATTGTTTGTACAATAAAAAAAAATTACGATGTAGAAAATGGTACATAGAAAATCTGATGAATAGTTTAGGTAATGCTGACTTTATTCAAGCTGCTCTGATTTTGATTTTATTTCATTTCGATTGTGACGTCTCTATATGAATGAAAAATGGACTTGAACTTAAAATATGGTGAAATACAAGACTGGACCTTTTTTATGATTAAGAATATAACTTATATTAACTGCGTCAATTCCTTTGTTTATATATTGAAGTTTAAGGAATAAACGGTTTGTTTGAGCGGTATTTTCTTCGCGAGGCTATGATTTGCAATATCCATAATATCACAGATCCGGGCCTGTATTCTGGTGTCGAAGAATCCAAATATGGACTTTCCATGACTTTTACAAATAGACTATTCAAAACTTTCAAAGGGACAGTGTTAAGTTTGGTGCGAATGTGATGAAGGCCTAACTGTTTATCTACATGAGGTAGTAGTGAATCAAAGGGGACATCGTGTATAATAGGTTTATTGTAAGACCGATGTCCATGACTATGCTTACGTCTCTGTGTACTGTTAAAAAGTCCCATCACATTCACATTGCTACACTGTGGGCTTCAAAGATTCCTAACACTATCGACATTGTCATTGCTTCCATATGGAAAGGCTGTGCCTAGTTTTCTAATCAAGTATTCTCGTTGTCTACGGAAAAGTGTACTCAGTAATGGGCCATTAATATGATGGTAAATCTTTTCTAGAATTCTAACTTTATAAGTGAATTCTTGGTTTCACCAAAATAAATAAGCCCACAAAAGGTACATTCTATTCCGTAGGCAACATTAGAAGATTTGCAATTCAGATTTTCCCAAGTTTTGGTACGGAAGCTCTGTCCAGTAAGAGTACTAGTAAACGAAGAGCTAGTAAACAAAATATTACAGGTTTTACAATTTTTGACAGAACATTACAAGTATTCTAAAAAAGCAGGCACGTTCTACTGTTCGTAAAGGTTTAACCCAATCGAAGGCTGTCTCTCAATGCAGACAGACATTTCAAAAAAGTTTTCTTCATTGGTAATGAGGACGATATTCTTATGACTGACGAGGCTGAGAAAGGAATTACTCAGTCTTTAGAAAGCTTACAGTCCATGTCAGATTGATTGGCATTGATTGACGCTGTCAAGTTATTGTCAACTTCTATTTCCATCCAATTTCAGTAACTATCCGAGAAGCTTCAATAAGACAGTAAATCCTCAGCTCAACAGCTTTCAAAGAAACTCAAGGAAAAAAAGGGGGAGGGGTAAACTGTAATACGAAGGAAACAAGGTACAATATTTGTGTGAGGAACTATTAGCAAAAATTGATAAGCTCAAAGATATTCCAACTCACAAAGCGATGTAAAGCGATTCAAGGAAATACTGAAAAGCAGACAAAAGTATATCAGAATTGCAGACGGGTTCACAGTACTACAGGTAGTAGTCCGGAAAACGGTACAGGGGAATGAATGTATTGTTATCGCTGATGACTTGGATGACGAGAAAAAGATTGGGAGCGCCGAGAATAGAGTCCTCTGGAGCAGTAAACAATGTGGAAAGTCCTGTTTTCAATCTAACAATAAGCTCTTCCTCTCTGTTGTTGGTTCTGCTGCTTAACTCTCAGCATTTACATAACACAAGACAAACACACTACAACAAGCCATTACCAGCCAATTTGTCCAACCCTCTCGCTCGAGTAGTAGACGAAACCCCAGTCGAGCGACGTCTGCTACATGTACAAGTGCTTCCAGACTGGGCATTGGAAAACAATACGTCCCATGAACCATCAATACACCAGCAATACGGTCTACAGTTCCAGTTGATTTTGATGATACGTATATACTTGTACTACCTGTAGATATGCTTGATCAGATAAATAATAAGATAATGATGAGCATTGCAAGTGTTTATCAATTAGATATTCACAGAAGTAAAGAATAGTTTGCACAATTATTATGATTTCTGGATAAAGATAGATGCGTTTGATGATATTATGTGAATTATTAAAACTGGGTATAACATTCCTTTTGATAATCCTCCTCGAATTCATTTGAAGAATAACAAATCTGCTTTGATACTTTTCCTTTCTTTCAGAAAGCACTGAAGACTTAAGTTAAATCCGGTTGTATTATGCAGGTATCATTAAGACTATTCGTAGAAAGTCCGCTGAGCATTGCAAAAGCGTTTGATTTTAGATCTAAGTGTGTTAGATTCATATCTGAAAAAAAGACAAGGTGAAATTTGAAGATTATAAAGTGGCTTTACAATGTTTTTAGAAAAATTACTTCTGCATTAAGCTCGATGACTTGAAATCAGGTAGCTATCATATAATTATTGCAAGGAATGTCAAACATTTCTTAATTTTCAGTTGAGATATGACTATTATTGCTTTACAGTTCTTCCGCTTATATATTCACGAAATGCTTAAGGGATACGGTCAAGTTTTGGGGTTCTGAAAATATAAATATTGTTCTTTGTTAAGATGGTATAGCCATGTCAGAGACATTTGAATTTCTAGTCTTATCAAGTCATCTTTGGATCTTGTGTTAACTATGAAGAATCGAAATCTATGGTAAGGTATCAAGTGGTATTCAGAAGCATTTCATATTTCCATTCAAGAAAGAATTCGAGACATTGAGACAATTGTCACAGATATTTTAGAGTTCAAAGATGTGTCTGAAATCTATGTGCAGGGTCAGAACAAAAACGCGGGTTTTTGTTTCAGGCAGTTTTTTTTATCTCCAGTATTAGTAATAAGACTAAATTGCTAGTGTGTTGTGCTGTATATTATACAGTTATTTACTAGGGAAATAGCAATTTTATGGTTCCCTGCGGGACCTGGAAACTATTTCCCTCGGCGGCTTCACTGCCTCGGGAAATAGTTTCCTCCCTCGGGGAACCATAAATTTGCTATTTCCCTCATATCCGTTCCATAATTGTTTTATTATACCGAAACAATCTAAGGAGTTTTATTAAACCAGATACTCAGATATTTTTAGACAATATAGAGGTATTCAAATAGGCACGAATACATGTAACTAAGATTTTGCTAGATATCTAATGCATCAATACTAAGGAAAATAAAATAAAATGATTTCACAAATATGTTAAAGAATTATCGTGCTCGTCATTTTGCTATAATTACAACTAGACTGAAGCTAGCAGCCAATAACAGCAGCCATTAAGCCCGTAGAAGCTAGCAGCCACTAAGGAAATTCATCAAAGGACTGAGAGTACTCTGACGCAGTACTGTTTAATGCCTCATTTTCGACAATTTATAATTAATAATTAGATAATTAATGCAACACTTAATTATTAATTAATAATTCAAACACTTGGAGGCAGTTAAGCTCACCTGCATAAGGAAAATTATGCGGTTTCACAACAAACAAACAAACAAAAAGAAGAAAATGTCACCATCTTTGACCGCTTAAGAATAAAACAGCATTGGAAATAGGTTAAGTACTTCCGGGAGAATCCCTTTTAAGCTCTTTTACGGGTCTCAGGAACATGATGGTGCCAAAAGGCTAACCTGAAATTTGCTTACTCCTAATATTTACATTGATAAGGATTTGAAGGTAATTTAATCTATTTTAAGTTATGATCCTTGAAGTGTGCTTCGAACAATTACTGGCTCAAGGTAAAAGGTTCCACAGGGCTATTATATACGGCCATAAAATTTAGGCTGAAGTGGTACCACCAAGTGGTGCCAAGGGCGGGTTACATATTTCAAGCAGCTATTATACCTCTTATCTTATAAGTGTGCTTTAAATCATTACTGTGCAAGATAGAAGATTTCTAGGACTATCTTTCCCGCAATCGGTTTGAGGCTGTAACGGCACCACCAAGTGGTGCCAACGGTGGGGAACATCTTTCATGCTTTCATTTTTCAACCGTCATTGACCACTAGAACAAACTAACACTAAACTGGAAAAAACTTAAGGGCCTTAGGGAGTATCCTTTGTCAACTTTTTGACAGGTTCCAATGACTATAAAGGCCAGTTAGGTAACCTGAACTTTGTTGTTTTTCACTTTGTCTATTGATATACGGATTAAAAGTCAGATGTTATACCCCTTATCTTTGAAGTCTGCTTCAAATCATTACTGGGGCAAGGTAGAGGGCCCCTAGGACTATCATTTCCTGCTATCAGAATGTTGCTGTAGTGGTACCACCAAGTGGTGCCATGGGTGGGGCACGTATTTCAAGCATTCATTTTGAAAGCATCTTTGACTACTAGAACAAAGTAACACTAGTGAAAGGTTAAGGACCTTAGGGAGAACCACTTGCCAGGTTTTTGAAGGGTCCCGAGGAAGAAAGAGGGCCAGTAAGCTAACCTGAACTTTGTTGTTTTTCACATTGTGTTTTAATATACGGGTTAAAGGTCAGCTATTATACCCCTTATCTTTGAAGTGTGCTTCAAATCATTACTCGGACAAGGTAGAGGGCCCCTAGGACTATCATTTCCCGCTATCAGAATGTTGCTGTAGTGGTACCACCAAGTGGTGCCATGGGTGGGGCACGTATTTCAAGCATTCATTTTGAATGCATCTTTGGCTACTAGAACAAA